TTCCTTCACAAGTTTTCATAGACGCAACAGGATGCCGCCTGGACTGGTTCGAACCGGTCTTCTTCCCGAGCTCCATAGAAGATCATTCTCCAGCATCCTATAGTAAGGGACTGGCGCCTGACGCTTAGAACTCAGAGATTTCGGGACATAGAGCTCAGCTCGCCACTGGTTCTAACTATGTGCAATCCAACTATACCGATATACGCAATCGTTCGATGCAATCGTTCGATACAATCGTTCGATGCAATCGTTCGACACAATCGTTCGATGCAATCGTTCGATGCAATTGTTCGATGCAATCGTTCGATACAATCGTTCGATGCAATCGTTCGGTGCAATCGTTTTTTGGTTGAGCGACTTGGCGCGTTTTTTCGATTGATTTTGACGATTTTTGTAATGATGGCATCAGCTTCCGTTGGCCAGCCTGAAGCTGCTGCCGGACGAAGCATAGTTCAAGAGGAACGGCAAAGCATCCGTGTGGCGACCACTGGTGGGGGCTTGGGCGGACTGGAAGGAGCTGACGCGAGGTCAGATAGCAGCGACACAGTTGGCAGTGCGGTTTCTTCAGGACACAACCAGGGGGTTGCTCCGGAGGAGCAACAAGGTGTGAACGCAAACCCGTCCGATTACATCAAGCCCAAGTTCCTCTACAACCCGGGCCCGGAGGACAGGGGAGATGAGGAAGAGCTGCTGGCGCGTAAGCGGGCCGAAGAAGCACAGGACGCGATTCCGGGCGTCGGAGACGTATTCTCCGGACCGGGACTTTCCTCTGGGTTGTCCTCTGTCGCATCGGGCGCGATCCCTGCGGTAATCAACCCGGCGGGGACGAACCCGCTAGGAACGAGTCAAGGGGAGCAAGCAAGTTCTGCCCAAGGGGACTCTGAGGGGCGGGCGGAGAACGGGACTCCTTTCTCCATCTTGGATTCGTTGATCAATCCGGACGCGCTAATCGCCAACTTGAGCAAGCCTTGGGGTCTGTGGCAAGGGCAGTCCAATGGCGACTCGGGTAACGCATTCCAGTCGGTTTCCCAAGTGGATGAAGGGGACTTGCCAGGCCAATTGGGAGTGGCGCAGGATGCCCTGGAAACGGATAATGGTTTGTCGGAAAGATCGGGCGGAGAACAAAGCAGTCGATTCGACGGTGAGCGGGAACACAGGCAGAATCAGGACGATCTGTATCAAAGCACCATGGGCAAATTGTATCCGTACCCGAGGCCTGTGGACTCACTCGGGTCATCAGAGGAGACGAGAGAGAATACAGCCAGACCAGGCGACACAGCGACCACGGCGTACCAAGTGCATAACGACCACGTCGCACGTGCGAGAGATAACGCACACACAAGTAAGGACGTGTCGGTCATGAATGTGGATGTATCGAAGACCGGCTCCAAGCCTACCGCAGTTGTACCGCTAGATTCGTCAGGGTTGGATCCCATTAATTCGGAAGATGGAGAGTACACGGACATTTCGAAGCAAGTGCATCCAGCCACTGCGCATGGGTTTGCGGGATTGAAAAGCATCCTGGCCAAGCTGGGGCTGCTGGACGAGGAAGTGCCTCACGGTGAGGCTTGGACGGAGATTCCAGTGTCGAGCAACGATGTCGACCCCGTGTGGGGTGTCCAAGAGGTATCCGGAAGTCAAGCTGCAGCAATTCACAAGGACCGGGTTCAAGACCGAGAGAAAGCCAGGCTGGAGGCGCTTCAAAAGAAAGGTCGAGAGGAAGGTCACGAGAAGGGTGACGAGGAAGATCGCGAGAAGCGCAGTGGGAGCAACGACTTAAACCGATATTGGGAACCAAAGAGGCCAGAGGTAAAATCCGACGAGGCTCCTGCAAGTGGTCGCGGTTCTAAGTCGCTGCAGGCGTTCTCGGACAAGTACATCGCCGGCGAGGTTGCCCACCCGTCCGAGGAACAGCTTACCGAACTGGACGAGTGGCTTGATGACAACGAACCCAGTCATGACCCCAGCAGTGGCGTGTTCATTGTGGAAGGCGATCTACCGCCGTACTTTGTGGACCCGAGGAAGCACATGGCGCAGTCCGAATATCAGCTACCGAGGCCTACATCACGTTACCGGATCGGTTCTGGAGGCGACTCTGTTGCGCTGAATAATGCTGGCGATGGATCTATGAATGACGCCGGCAAATATGCCGGCAAATATGCTGGTGATTACGCCGGTAATTATGCTGGTAATTATGCTGGCAACTACGCTAGGGCTGATGAGGACGACTACGGTCGGGAAGAGCACGACTACGCTGAGGAAGAGGACGACTACGCTGGGGAAGGGGTGGGAGAAGACGCGGGGGTAGAAAAAGCTGGGGTGGACGTTAGCGACTATGCAGTCGGCAACCCGCAGCCCTACCGCTCAGAGCGGTTCCCCGGTGTTCC